TGTTTGGTTGGTTTGGGGGTTAGTGTCGGCTGTCTTAGTTTCACGATAGGCGCCATCATGACCGGGTCCGTTTTAGGGTAGTGACATCAGCTGTCTAAGGCGAGTCACAATTGTACCGTCATATGCCTCTCTTAAATATACCCACATGGTTTGAGCAGTAGGATATTGCTCACATTTGTGGATGAGATCATGAGCAACTGAACTTATATTAATTTCACATATAGTAGAATTTTTTTTTTTTGCAAATATTATGAGTTTCCAGGTCCCTCCTATGTTTGGCAGTGTTACCCTCCTCTGGTTGACTCAAAACATAGTTAATATTTTTAAGAGCATCTTGATCTTCGAGTACGTACTACATCTTACGACTCCAGATGTCATAATTTTCACCATTCAGTTGTCACCCTTCTTCAAGTCAACAATGATACTTTTTGATACTATATCTGTTATTAGAGATAATATTACAAATTTAACTTATCAATATATACTTCAGCCAATTAATGCATGTGCTTACACACTCAAGCAAATTAATTATAATATTAATTTTATATTTAGTATAGAATCGAAAAGCCACTACATTTCCATTCATCATCTATATCTAAATATTTTAACTAATACTTAAATCACTTTTCAATGTGTGTTTCGTTTCAAGTCTCAATCTATTAAACAATTAAAAAATAAATAATATATATGTAACTGGTGAGACAAACAATAAAATTTAAATTTTAATAAAATAAAATATATAATAACAATTTACATGTTTGCTAGGATATACATATACCAATAGAATACTAACTATTGCAAATATACGCTAAAATGTATACTAGTCCAAATATTAGTTAAAACTTCACCCTAAGGCTCTCGAAGAGAGTCAGCTAAAATAGCTAACGCGTCCCAATTCAGTAATCTCTATGTAATTAGAAAATTCAGCTCTTTTTAACTGAAAAAGGTGTATATAGTCAGGAATTGAAGTATCAGAACCCATTTTAAATTCCTTAAACTCCCTAAAAAAAATTCTCCTTTCCTTCGTTCAGTCCTTCGACCCTTAACTCATTTTGCCTCGCTCTTGGGACATTTCTGATGACTTCAGGCTCCGAGTTTGAATCATTATAGAAATAAATCATGCGAGGACGCATCCTTCTACGTTGTCTCCTTGCTCGACTTTGAGAATTCTCACTTGGTGTAATTAATATTTTAACTAATATTAAAATCACTTCTCAATTTGTTTTTTATTTTAAATCTCAATCCATTAAAAAATAAATAATAAATAATATATATGTAACTGGTGAGACAAACAATAAAATTTAAATTTCAATAAAACAAAATACGTAATAACAATTTACATTTTTTCTAGGGCATGCATATACCAATAGAATACTAACTTTTGCATATATATGCTAAAAGGTGTAATAGGCCAAATGTCATGATAAATATCAGTTAAAACTTCACCTTGAGGCTCTCGAAGAGAGTTCGCTAAAATAGCTAATGCTTCTCAATCAGTAATCTCTATGTAATTAGACAATTCAAATATTTTTTAACTGAAAAAGTGTACATATTCAAGAATTGAAGTATCAGAGGCCATTTTAAATTTCTTAAGCTCCCTAAATTTCTTTTCTCTTCCCCTTCGTTCAACGATTCGGCCCTTAGCACATATTGCCTCGCTCTTGGGACATTCCTGATGGTTTCAGGCTCTGAGTCTGGATTATTATAGAAATAAGTCTTGCGACGACGCATCCTTCTATGTTGTCTCCTTACTCGACTTCGAGAATTCCAACTTGGAGTAATTAATATTTAAGTAATATTAAAATCATTTCTCATTGTGTATTCCATTTCAAGTCTCAATCCATTAAAAATAAAATAACAAAATAATATATGTAACTGGTGAGACAAACAATAAAATTTAAATTCCAATAAAACAAAATATAATGACAATTAACATGTTTGCTAGGACATACATATACCAATAGAATACTAACTCTTGCATATATACGCTAAAAGGTGTACTAAGACAATATCATGATAAATATCAGTTAAAACTTCACTCCAAGGCTCTCGAAGAGAGTCCGCTAAAATAGCTAACGCTTCCCAATCATTAATCTTTATGTAATTAAACAATTCAGCTCTTTTTAACTGAAAAAGTGTACATATTCAGAAATGGAAGTATCAGAGCCCATTTTAAATTTCTTAAACTCCCTAAATTTCTTTTCTCATTCCCTTCGTTCAAGCCTTCGACCCTTAACTTATTTTGCCTCGCTCTTGGGATATTCCTGATGACTTCAGGCTCCAAGTCTGAATCATTATAGAAATATATCCTGCAACGACGCATCCTTTTACGCTATCTCCTTGCTCGACTTCGAGAATTCCCACTTGGAGTAATTTGAGCTTGTCCATGTTCTGCCATGTCTGAAATAGAATCAAGCAAACCGTACGAATAGTTACAACCATTCAATATGACAACATATGCCATAATAACTCGTAGAAGTATATCAATATAAGGGACTAGGGCTAAACTAATTTTCGATATTAAGATACAGTAAGTTGTATGGTGACCAAATTAAAACAAAATTCATGGTCCTAACATATAAAACTTTTCTTGTAACATATTATTCGATGTCTCATAATTAAACAAAGTGCACCGAAGGAGTCTATCATTATTTCAACGTAATTTTCACACCATTACATACATTCTGTAATTAAATGATGTGATTACACAAATTATATATCATACCACGCGGTTCAAAGAATTAGTGGTAAAAAAGGAATACTAAGTTTGCATACTTTGGAAATACAATAAAAAACTTTTGCCTTAGAAATCTTAACCACAAAGGAAAAAATTCCTCTTTTGAAAAACTGAAGGCCATAATACACATTGTAGTTTATCATTCTTACACAAGATTTCAACGAGGAAAAAAAATTACGGATTCACCCAAAATTTTAAATACTTTCAAATGGCAAAATCTACTATTTTCGGTCTATAGCAAATTCTTTTACAGTTTAAGAATTTGTACCAAGTTTAATACAAGCTCTAACAAAAAGTAGTGTGCATAAATTAAGAAAATATCGTGTAGGCCTATGTCTTCTACATCCCAGGCAAGGCATATTTTTAATTGAATCTTTGATCACGCTCGACTCTAGTCCTAAAAAGAATAAGTGATCACTGTAAATATAATCCGGTCTAAAAGTTTAGAGTCAAATTCCACAGAGAATTAAGGTTTAACTATAACTGTTTAATATCACTAAGAAGACAAGATTGAACAATTTCTAAGTTATAAATATTAAAATTCTTATGTATAACTAATTAACTAACAAATTAAAGTAGTAAATTAAAAATTAGGGATACTAAGAGTTGGAGAAAAGATTAAGGAGGTATAGAGTTATGATTTTTCCAATTATCGGAATCCTTCCCGCTACGTTTTCTATAATTTTGCCTAATTATTCTCTACCGATCGTGAGTACTTCTGGTGTTGTAATTCTCTCTCTCGAGCAACTACCACAAGTTACTAGATATGTTTTCTCAAACTACGCTAGCTATTCACCGCTCACTATAATTGCACCAAGGTTTCGTTATCTCTAATCCCGCCTTTAAACCCTCAATATCGATCTTTTGCATACGTTAGGAGTGATGTAGTTCAACAATAACCTACATATGTTCCCTCTCTCAAGCAATATATACTAAATATGCACATCAATTGATGGTCATTCAATCAACAGCAGTAAACAGGTAGTTGAACAAGTAGAGTAATCTAACGGTTCAATTATATAAAAACATAATGAAAATTTATCTTACAAAAGGTTCCATCAAAACCTTAGATAACAAATTAGCTATTCATAATAGTATGCAAAACTACAATACTAGAATTTATAACCAAGAATGAAAGTAGGAAGACGGAAGTAAAAAACTCGTAGAAGAATTCTCCGCCTTGCTCCTAGCGTGTTCTTGCCTCCTTGGGTCGATTCCCCTCTCTAATGATGTCTAACCCTTCAATAACTAACTTTAAGAGGCATTTTATAGGACTAGGGCCGAAGCCTACATGTCCAAAACTAGTGAGGAATTAAAATTGGCTCGGATAGCATCGTTGGCACGAGGCACTATCTGGGGCACCAATATTTCTGCGCGAGACATTGTCTGTGGCGCCAATGTTTCTGCGCGAGGCACTGTCTGGGGAGCCAATGACAGTGCCCTGGACAATTCCTTGCACTATCTATGGCCATGACTTTTCATTGCATTGCACGTCTTCTTTTATTGCTCCATTTTATAGCTCCGAAGTATCATTTCGTGCAACTTTTTTTTAATTCATGTCCAAATATTCCTACACGTGAAATAATCTCTATTAAGCATAATTGTCGCACAAATTAGCATCCAAACAGCAAATAAGTCGAGTAAATAACGTCAAAATATATGGAATTATCGCACGATATTAGTCTTCCGTGATGTCTTGAAAAATATACAAGATTGCAACCGCGAGAACTTCCAAAACACACAAGATACTACTATTTCTTACGAAACCACACTTATAATTTAACACTTCACAATAACACATAATTCTTGAACCTAAAATTATATGCGGCAACGAACAAACATAAGTTACACTATAGTAATTAACGACTAGGTAGCAATATTCATGCTCTGACGCCATTTTTAATTAAAAATACACTACAACAACATAGAACAAAAATTAGAAATCAGGTATCTATTACGCAGCGAAGTAAAATCACAAACAATTTTGATTCTCTTGAAAAATAAAATTTAGTTCCACAAATTAAATGCTTTTCTTTTGATATTCCTACCTCACTACAATATCGCTCACTCTCTATTTTTCTCACAAACTATTTTCTTATACCTTGTCTGTGAAACCTCACTCTTTCTTTCTCTCTTTGTTAGTGTGTGGAAATGAGAATTGAAGCTCTCCTAGCCAAAGCTTCACCCTCTAAAGTCTACAATATTTGACAATATACACACACTTTTTACAATTCAACAAAGTTGGCTATCAAATCAAAGAAATTCAACAAGGTTGGTTACCAAACCAAACTAATTCAACAAGGTTGGCTACTTAACCAAACCAAGTCAACAAGGTTGATTATCAAACCAAAGAAACTTTTATTAAGCACATGACTAATACTTGTTGAATGAGATGGACATCGTCAAATCATGAAATGATGGGAAACAAGATATATAACATCTAGAAAAGGCTGTGATGATTCCTAACTTCTCCAACTTCTTTTTGTCCTCTTATTAGCGGCTATGATGATTATGTCTAGAGTTGGGTCGGCGTTGGAGTGGCCCGTATCTTGGCGGGGCGACCCGGAATTCATCTATTTGATGCAACTGATCCCTGCAGCCATGGCGATCCTTGTCTCCGTTGCCTGATTTTTTTTATCATCCGAGCCTCTCGGAAAACTGCTTTATTACCCTCTGAATTAGATTAGCCCAGAAATGGCGAGAATGAGGCGACAGAGAGCGAGTATGGGATTTTTTTTCAAGGGTGGTTGTCCCTCTCTGCTGTGTCTATGATTCTCCTTTTTTGTAACAAACCAACAGCCCTTAAAAAAGGAAAGAGAGAAAGATAGATGATAACGCTTCAGTTTCTGGATTTGTTTGTAGTTTGCATATTATTCAAAGACCCAATACACACACAATTATACTACAACAACTCCGGGACCTTCAGATCTTAATGAGGCAGTGATGATGATTTTTTTTCTATATCTGGGGGAACAAATTCGGGCATGGAGATTATCCGACCCGTATCTTGGCATGACAACCGGTATGGTCTGTGATTGAGACTCTTCTCACTCACATGCAACTGGTTTTTTGCAGCCATGGCGTGGTTGGCTCCTCTTTTGCCTTTGTCATAAACACATATCTGAGCCTCAATTTGGTAAAGAAAATATCAATCTTTTAGATTTTATTGATGTGGGATATATCGAAACCACGCTGTTTTAAGTTCTAATGCTTTTTTGAGCTGTGAAGTATAGCCATTGTTTTCTATCAGTAGCAGCTCAAGAATGAGGCATTAGAGTGAAATGTGGGATTTTTTTGTAACGGTGGTTGCCCTCGTTCTCTGGTAAGCCCGTGATTTTTTATTTTATATTTTAAATTTTGCTTTTATGCCAGCTACCATGTTGGTATTTTCTCCTAATTTTTTTTTAAGAGAGTGGCACGTGAGTATGTACCGGTAACTCTGCCCACCAAGGCTTGGGCACATAAAAGAATCACAAGTATTTTTTTGCCTCCGCTCGGATTTGAGCCTGAGACCTCATGGTCTCCAGCCACTTCATTGACCACTACACCACAATGCATATTTTCCAAAATTATGAATTTTTGTTGAAGGATATTGTACTTCCCATGCGATAATAGCTGGATGTTGTGATGGTATACTTGGTTGTGTTAAACAGAAAGTAACTGATTAATTACCAAAAAAGAAAAACTTAGCTCGAGTCTTGTAATGCGAGGTCAATGTTGACTTAAGGTTTATTAGAATAGGCCAAAAAGGAGAGAATGAGGTACCAAAGAGGCGGGAATTCTATCAAAGATAGGTGCCTAACTCTGCATTACAAATGTTTCTCGAGGTTTCAAAGAGCATTAGCAGTTAAAGAGAAAGAAAGAAAACTAAATCAGTTTCTGGGGGTTTTGTCTGTGACTTCGTTTATGTCTGCTGATCTATTGGTTCCTTGTTTCTGCTGTGTTCTTATTCTTTGCTGTCTTGGCTTCGAGATTCTTCTTAGAAGCTATTGGGGACTGCGAATGATGCTTAAAATAAAAATATGTGATTGGCAGGTGAAAAAGGGTTGTAATGATGCTTCTAGCTCTTTCTTTTTCTTTTCTTGTGCTTAATCAGTGAGCATGAAAACTACCTAGCTGTATCTTGGCTTGGCATCTCGGTATGGCCTGCAATTGAGAATCTTCTCTCTTGCATGCAACCATTGTTTGCAGCCATGGGGTGGCTGGCTTCTCTTTGCCTGATGATAACATAGATCTGAGCCTCAATGTCAATATCAACCAGTAGTGGCTCATTCCCAAGTCAGTTGGGACCGGCTATGCGAATCCTCTGTATCCATTTTGGTATATTTAGGTACATTTCATTCAATTAGTATATAATGTCTTTTAAGACAAAAATATATAATATGAAATAAGAAGAAATAATCGAATTATATCATGAAAAGTACAACAAGAAATGACCTTATAAAAAAGTATATGATACAAAATAATCAATTCTAGAAAAGGTAATACACTAAATTAGTTGCCTCAATGACATTCGAGACTTTGCCTTTATATTTGTCTGATCATCTTGTTTTTTTAAAATGGCAGGTGCTTTTGCATTATTTCTACACCATAAACAGAAACTGGATTCTCAACTCAAGAACAAGAATGGGGCTGCATATGGATGGAAAGTTTTTAAGGGTGTTGCCTTCCATCTGCATGCCCGTGATATCTCTGTATTCTGCCACTGCCAAAGCAAAAGCCCTTCTATCATGCTTAGCTGGCGCTCTAATGGTTGGTTATTCGCAATCTGCTCTATTTCTCACGCAATTTGCTTCTCTTTCTTGGTCATTGTCATTCTCATTTCCTTTTCACAAATCTCAATCAGTATGAGCATTATTGCTGTTGCTTATCTGTAGGTTGTGATGATAAAGCAGCTTGATTTCATTGTATTTGGGTCTACTGGACCTGTATCTTGGCAGTGCAAACCAGGATGACTTAAGCAGAGTCTTATTTCTCTAGCAAGCATTCTTGTTTGCAGCCATGGCGGTGTCCCTTTACCTGATCTTATGACAGATCTGAGCCTACGTATATACTCATGAGTTTCACTTCATAGATAGATATCTAAAAATAGATGGAAATAACTTTTAGATATGCCTGGAGAAAGAGAAGGACAATGGTGAAAAAAGTGAAAACTACTTTCCCTTGTGATGAAAAAGGAAGGTTAGATACTTAAAGGCAGACTTACACGGGCCTTTAAAAGTTCTCTTCTTGAACTAGCTCAGAAATTGCAAGGATGAGGCAAGAGAGAGTATGAGATTTCTTTCGAGGGTGGTTGCCCCTCTTTCAATATCTGGTTTTCTGGATGACCATTTGGGAAATTTCCCCAATATACAAGTATACCACAACAACTACCTTCAGATCTTCAGTCTGTCCTCATGGCCCTTTGTGGTTTCTTCCAGTTTACTCTCATCGTCTCATTATTAATGGGAACTGGAAAGTGTTACATTATGATGCATTCTACTACAGAAAGGGGCTGTGATGATGCTTATAAATCTTTCTATTTCTGGGCTGATCATTGAGTCATTGAGATGACCGGACTTGTATCTTGGCATGGCAACCCGGTATGGCATGTGATTGAAAACTCCTCTCTCTCTCTCTCTCTCTCTCTCTCATGCAACCGGTGTTTTGCAGCCATGGTGTGGCTGGCTTCTCTTTTGCCTTATCATAATACGCATCTAAGCCTCAATTTGCTGAAGATCATAGGTAGGCATTTGGACAATATTTGAGTTGAATTTGTGAAGTTCTCTTGAGTGCAGACTTGTGAGGTCTCTTTGGTTAAAAGCTCTTATCTAAGCGAATTCTCGTTATTAGATTAGCCTAGAAATGGCGAGAATGAGGCAACAGAGAGTATGGGATTTTTTTCAAAGGGTGGTTGCCCCTCTCTGCTTTTTCAATGATACTCCACTTTTCAAAAAACCAACAGCCCTTTAAAAAGATAGAGAGAAAGAGAACATACTTCAGTTTCTGGGTTTCTTTGCATTTTTTGCACCCTTAACGTATACTCAAACCCCAGTACCCAACTATACTATAACAACTACGCGACCTTCGGATCTTCCGTCTGACTCCTTCATGGCTTTGAAAACCCTTAAAGAGGCAGTGATGATGATTTATTTTCTATACCTGGGCTAACTGATTGGGGCATGGAAATTACCCAAACCCTATCTTGGCGTGGCAACCCGGTATGACATGTGATTGAGTCTCCTCTCTCTCACATGCAACCGGTGTTCTGCAGCCATGGCGTGGTTGGGTTCTCTTTTGCTTTATCATAACACATCTGAGCCTCAATTTGCTAAAGAAAATATACCATTTCCATGTATTGATGCAGGAGATATTGAACCCTCGTCCTTTTTATTAGAAGTTATAATGCTTTTCACTCGTAATGTTTTTGTCGTCCTCCAGTAAGCCCATGATTTAAATAGCAGCCTTAATGATCCGATTTTTGCAAATCACCCAGCGAATTCCTTTTGTTAGATTAGCCCAAACTGGTGAGGAAAGGCAACAGAGAGTGTGGGATTTCTTTCAAAGGTGGTTGCCCCTCTCTGCTTAGCCTATGATTCTCCATTTTTTAACAAACCAACAGCCCTTAAAAAAGAAAGAGAGAGCACTTCAGTTTCTGGGTTCTTGCATTTGCACCCTAATGCATACTCAAAACACGAACATACAACTATACTACAACACGACCTTTAGATCTTCAGTCTGTCTCCTCATGGCTTTGAGAACTCTTAGAGGCAGTGATGATGTTTCTCGTATCTGAGCTAACTGATTCGGGCAGATTACCCCACCTGTATCTTGGCGTGGCAACCTGGTATGGCCTGTGATTGAGACTCTTCTCACATGCAACCAGTGATCTGCAGCCCTGAGTGGATGGGTTCTCTTTGCCTCAATGTGCTAAAGATAATAGATTCAATGTGGGAGATATCGAACCCATGCCCTTTTGATTACAAGTTATAATGCATTTTTCACTGCTTATGTATTCCATTTTTATGGTCAGTATCAGCTCAAGAATGAGGCATTAGAGTGAAATGTGGGAATTTTGTAACGGTGGTTGACCTCCTTCTCTAGTAAGCCCATGATTTCCTTTTCTTTTTTTTTTGTTAATACCAGCTACCATGTTCATATTTATCTCCCCATAATTAAGAATGTACTAAAGGATATATGTTTCCCTGTATGAGAATCAAACAACTGTTCTCCAACTTTCTGCCGTAAATTCTTGCCGGTGAACTTCTTCCTTCTACGTGACTTCCTATTTGCATCCCATATGATAATAGCTGGAAGTCATGACCGATACTAGTATGTCTTAAACAGTATTATCAATTTTCTGAAAATTTAAATATTTAATTACAAAAAAAAAGAAAAAAGAACTTGCTTGAGTCTGCTAATGGCAGGCCATTGTTGACTGAAGGCCTGTTAGAACAGCCCAAAAAAGTAGAGAATGTTACTGAATGAGGTAACAGACAGA